CACACAAGGCATGTGCAGTGACTTTGCCTGAAGCACAACTAGTCTTGAAGGAGTTTCAAAATGCACTCTGATTTAAGAAAAATAAAGCCTATTTCAAATGCTTGGAAGAAAAGGCATTAATGGTGACATACCAGAGGTCTGGAGCCTGTTAGAGTCTGTACCTTGGAGCAGGGGAGCACCACTGGGAACCCCTAATGGAGGGTCTTAGACTCTGGAGACACACCCACCTCCCTGCAAATATGCCACTGCTGCTTCCTAGCTGTGAGGTCTGGGTGAGTGTGTGGCCTCTGGAGACTCAGTTTCTTCATCTGTAAAATGGGTTCCTCTGTCATTGTCTTGGAAAAAGCTGAACAGCTGAGGTGCTGAAAACATCAATTTTCCTGTCTTTGAGCGCTGGTAAAGGACACAGCCAAGTCTCTTGAGCTCCTGTGAGCATGCTTGCTCTCCGGTCACTTGCCTAGTCATACTTCAACTTTCCTGTGTTTGGAGGGAGACAAAACCAGAGAAAGTCCCTGGGGTGTGTCTCAGTTGCTATTGCTCCGACTGTGGTCTGCATACCCTCATCAGCCAACACATAACTCACACCTGCTCCTTTGTCTACACCTGCAGCAGAACAGCCCTGTTCCCAAGCTGCTCCCTCCCCTGGCCGCTCCTCCCCTCCCTCTTTGCCTTCCTTGCTGGCTGCTCCTCCTCCCTAACCTCCTGCAAAGTGAGTGGAATGGAGTGGGCCACTGCTTTGAGAGAGAAACAACTTCCCTAGTGGGCTTTCACCAATAGCGTGTTGGGTTTTTCTCCTTATTCTACCCTTACGTCACTGCCCTTATGGAAGATGCATCGTTCAGCAATTTTAAAAATATGTTTTCATATAGAGGACCTCGAAGCCCCATTTTGGTGCAAGATCTTTAACACTGGGCTCCTGATGCCCGCCCCCCTCACTGTCCCTGTTTGCTGATCCCTGGGAAACCAGTACATTGGACAATCCTGCTCCCCTCTGCTTCCTTCCCTTCTTTTCTCCCATTTTTGGCTTCTCTCCTGCCCCTTTCTCTGCCTACTCTCCTCTGTCCTCTCCCCTCCTTCCCCTGCTTTCTCTTCCTCCTCCTCCTTTCCCCTTCCCCTTCTTTCCTCTCACCTCCTCCGCTGGGCATCCATCACTTCCTCAAAACTGTCTGTGGCAGCCAAGCTGCTCCTCCAGCCCCAGCTCGGGCCTCCCTCCTTCGAGCCAGCAGGGGCTGGCAGGTACAGGACAGGGGTGACATTTCCCACTGGAGAGTGCGCAAGGGGGGAGGACATGTCAGTCTCTGCCACCTTCACTCTGTCCCCGCTCCTGTGCACACCTCTCCCAATTCATGGCCTTCCCGCTGCCTCTGCCCTTCTGCTGCCCTTCTGTGTTGCCTCACATCCTGGTGAGCCTCCTGCAGCCTTGGCCTCCTGCAGCACAGCTCATGGTCTTCCTTCCTCCCTGCTGCCACCCTTGACTCTGCTGCCAGCTTCTCCTCTGAACTACATATTACAATAGCCCCTGAACAGGTGAGCCCAAGTCCCTCTCCCCTCCCCCAGCCTCCTGCCCACAATGCTGAGCTTCTCCCTGGTCTGTCTCCACACTGTTCTTGGAGGCCTGTGCTGACCTCCACTACCCTTGGTGGAACCTCCTGGTGTTCATGACCTGGCCTGGTCTGAGGAGCACCCTGGCTGCTCCAGAGAGTGTGACACCTCTTCTCTACAGAGCTCAGTACATGTGGCAGGGGCCCTGATACAACTGAAAATGTGTGGGTGCTGCTCCTGTCCTTTGACTCCCTGTGGACATGGACCTGCAGTCTCCCTGGAGAGGGTGTCTTGTGCGTGGCCCATGTCTGAAAACACTCAAGGCAAATCAGCCTTTAACTGAATGAGGCAAGGTTTGAAGGGGGCTTTGCCTGGCTCCTATAGGAAACTTTATAATGATACAGATTTCTGGGATCTTGGACCTCAGAGGCAGATTCTGGAAGGTGGAGAGGGTGGGAATCTGTTTTTAAATAGTCCTCTTGGAAAAAAAAGTGAGGGTCTCAGTGCTAAAAACTTTAGAAAGCAAAGAGTTTTAATGAAGGGAATCACTACCTCGTGTGTAGTATAAGTACTAAATAGGTGGGGCTGGGGAGAATGTGTATGAACACACACACACACACACACACACAGAGTATTGACTGTGGTTTCAGGCACTCTGCTAAGATTTTATTCAATCGCTGCTACACCCTCTGAAGCAGTCGCCATAGCCCTCACTTTACAGATAGAGAAACGGAAGCTCAGAGAGGGAAAGTAACTGCTGCCTCCTCACACACCTGGAGGGAGTGGGGCAGGCTCAGGGCTCTCTGCTGCCCATGTGTGGCCAGGATTTTCAGGAGAAAAATTTTCTTTAACTGTTGAGATGAGGCCCACTGGTTTATAATCGACCACAACCTCATCGGACACCTTGGAGGTTCGGGTTCTGGCTTCTGAGAGTCTTTCCCTCCAGCCCTGCCTCTCAGTGTAATCCTCCGGCTGGGTCTTGCAAGGTGACCACTTCCACCCTTTTCCCAACAGTGTCATTGCTGAGGTCATGTCTTCTGTCCTGGTTTGGTTCTGAAATTGCCTGAGGGGACAGAGGGACAGAGGCAGGTGTCTTGCCCTAGCTCATCCACAGTGAGTGCAGGAATGAAAGTAGGTTCTGGTCCCAAACACATGCCCCAGCTTTAAACTGGGCACCTCCAGTGCCTCCCTGGTGGTGTAGAGGTTAAGTCTCAGCCTTATCATGCTATCACCCTCCACCCACTGCACCTCTAGCCTACACCCCAGTTCTTGTATGCATAAATACATAAAATACAAATATTTGAAAAACTAAATTGGGAACCTCCAACTTGACCTCTGAGTTCAGATATATCTTGTTTGAAACAGTATGATCAGTAGAATGGATACCATCACTAACTCATTCGGTTACCCTTCATTTGTGGAAAGAATATTTTTTTCCTATAAGAAAGTCCTTCTTGGAAAATGAGAGGATTAAATATACTTGCTGTCTGTAATTGAAAATGTGCCATGCACAGTAGGTAATGAAGAGCGTTCCCAGATACCCCATGGAAGAGAACTGTAAATGGTTAAAGGAGGTTCCTAGGGGCTAAAGGTGGACTTCTTCACTATAGGACTTCACTATAGAACTTTACAAAGGCTCATTCTCACTGTGCATTTCTAAGATGTATGGAGATGTAGTTGTCAGCATTTCTGAAATTTATGTGACCATAAACTTTCCAAAAAGTCTGGGGAGTCTAACTTTTTCTAGAACACATTTTGGAAAACTTAGGATTAAAAATTACCATGAAATATTACCCCCTTCCTTGTCAGAGTGTTTTCTAGTTAGTTCACAATGGGTTTTCAGAGATCTCCTTCAATGGGGTTTTCTTGATGGACAAAGGAGGGGGGTCATTTGAAGTTGTGGTGGGCAAGGGTAAGACTGGATGCCATCAATTGGGGAACATGGGCTCTTGAAGAAACTTGGGGGAGCTAGTGACAAAGGGTTCCTTAATGAGGCCCTCCACTTGGTCTCCAGAGCACCTGTCTTCCCTGGTGCCCATGGAAGCCCTGCAGCTAGGTTCCCAACCAGCATGACAGTCTGCTCAATAGTTCCCTGGCTTTCTTGCCTTGTGAACATGGCATGGTTGTTGGGGAGCACAGCTTGCCAGGAGGCCCACAGCATGGCTGCCTGTCGTAAGAGCTTGAGCCAAGCCTGGCCCTGGGCCACATGGCCAGATTATAGCCCTTCTCGCCATCCACAATCCCATTCAGGATGCCCAGGATCAATGAATGATCTGATCACTCAAATCATACCAGGGTATGCTAGCACCATTTACTACTCCACTTGCCTTTCAAAGGCAATCCTTGCCTAATGATGGGGTTCCAGTCCCTGATGCAAGGAATGAAGGACATGGCTTCCCAGGACCTCGTGAATGATTCACCATAAATCCACCTATTAACTACTCTGCCCTTCCAGGTGTACTATTGCATTTGTTTATTCAGCAGGAAAATATTATGCTGCTCAGAGTAATGAACCTAATATTCTGGAAGATCCCGGGGACCTTGGAGTTACTGACCTATTGCTACTTAACATCTGCTCACCTGGACCACTGGGATCATGGAGGGTGTAACTTCACATAATAATCAGACTTTGCACCCTTACCAAATACCTGCTCTCATTCCAAGCACATATTAAGTTGCTTGTACATATTAAGTTGCTTAATCCTCCCAGTGGCCCAGTTTTGTCTTCCCCATTTTAATAGAAGAGAAAAATGAAGACAGAGAGGCCGAAAGATGTACCTATTGTCCCTTAGATAAGAGGTAGAGTGGAAGGACTTGAGTTCTTGCTGCCTGGCAGTGCTTAGTGACCCCTCCACAGAGGTGCCAGTCCTCCTCCGGGGTGCCAATCCTCCCCAGGCTGAAGGACAGAGCGCTGCCAGGAACAAGTCAGCTGGGACCTCAGAACTGCGGAGGCCTTTAGAGCTAGCTCTGCTCGGGCTGCTCAAGGCAAAGTACAAACTGGGAGCATCTGCATAAAAAAATAGAATCTGGAAGAAATGAATGTGTTATCTAAGGGAATTAAACTCTAGTAGGTAGTATTCAAAAATTAGTAGGGGATGCTGTGTTTGCAGGCAAAGTTTCCAACTCCCCCAAACTAACAAAAAGCACATACAACTAAAACAACAGAAACAATTACTATTATATAGAAAACCACCATGTAGGCAATCCACTCTTGTGCTTGTAAAAACTGACAGTTCTAGAAATAAAGGGAGAGAGACATAGGGGATTTCAAAGCATGAAGGTGATTTTTTTTTCATTTAATTCCATTTTTCAAAGAAATACGTTCATTCAGCGTAGAACTCATCCAGTTGTCTTGATGGCCTGTCAGGAGTGGGAGAGGCCCCGTGGCTGCTCCCCAAAGACTGTGGAGACCTCTCGGTGGGGAGTGTGGCGCATGCTAGGCAGGTGCCCTGTGGCCATTACTTCCTTTTGAACACCTGATGGCACACCTGGTCAAGGCATGTCAGCTCCTGCAACAGCAGAAAGTGGGTGAGGGAATAACAAGCCCAGCCTTCCTTCCAGCCAGCCCTTGACCCTCTTGGTGTCTGTGTCTGTGTGTTGTGGGGAGGACTGGAAAAAAGAGGACACAATCATTTTGGACAAAGAGCATCTCACACATCCAATCAGCAGGCATGACTGCAGGTAGCGGTAATTTGATTTTGACACTTGAATTGAGCTTGAACTACTATAAAAATGAAAAATGCAAAGAAATTATGCTCTCGGGCAGGATTTCTCCTACTCTGGTGATTAAAGCAACATCACCTAATTTCAAAAGGTAGTAAAGCCTTGAAGAAGGGAAGGTTGTAGAGGTGGAAGTATTTGGAAGGCAAAGACCTGGGAATGCAGGTGAGCTGTCCCTCCCCTCTGGGGTTTTTCTGGCCTCCAGTTTAGGCATCAGGCAATGGCAGGGAGTGGGCTGCTGGAGGGAGGCCCCAGACCTGTCTGTGTAAACAAGATCTTCATCCAGAGACAAGGGCCCTCAGGATGTATATATGCCTCCTAACCCTCTGAGGGAGGAGAGAAGAACTCGAGAGTGGGGATGAACACCAAATCATGGAAGTTGACGATGAATCCATTGTCTTAGCCACAGGGACCAGTGGGGATTTTACCCATCATCCAAACCAGAGCAGGCAGGAAAAACCATCAATGGAAAACAAGGTGAATGCCTCCCCTTTATCACCAGTTGATGTTGCCTCCGAAATAAAGGTCTCAGGTGAGGCAAGACTGGCTCTAAAGGGTACTGCGGAGACTTGAATCCTGACTTTGGAGGCAGGTATGTGCCCGACTCCATTGGTGAATGCAGAGTGAATGACTGAATGAAGAGCAATTCTTTGAACAAATGAGTGACTCAATATGTACAGTAAAAGCTTTTTCACTATTTGAATTCTGGACTCATAAATTGACTTTTAAGTTTGAAAAATTAAGCCATCTAGACAGATATCATTTATTTGAGGATTCCAGCAACAGCTCTATGCTTGTACCAAATTAACCTACACTGTTTTGACATCAGGTAGAGGTGCCCAATGATGAGCAGTCAGTGCCTGTGGTCTACAGGCAGTTACCAGAGTCAACTTCCCCTGTCTCCCATCCCTGCAAAACCCCCTCTTGTTGCAAGCTCACATAAGTGGTCCCACCGTCCTCCAGGGCATCTTTATCCTGTGCCTTGTATTTCTCCCCTGCTTGTCTTTAACAGGTTCCTGCATTTCTCCTTGGATCTCAGCATCCTAACTCAGTATTTTAAACTTTTTTTTTTTCCCATTTGTATTATTTATTTATTTATTAAAATTATTTATTTTTTGTTTTAACATTTAATATTTAAAAAATTTTTAAACAATATTTGTTCCCCCCACCCCTTCAGATTGAGTCCACATAGAATTTCCTTCCCTGAGGCACCCATGACCCATCACCTCAGTCCCCTGTGCTCCTCCCTCCCTCCCTCTGATCCCTCTCCCTACTCCTCCCCTGAAGGATGTCTCTGGTTTATAATGGTCCCTTTTTGCTTTGTTGTGTTTTGTACTGTTATTATTTTTTTACACTGATGTCTTATTTGGTTCCCCTATATTCCTGTTATAAGCGAAACCATCTGATAGTTTTTTTTTCCAACTGGTTTATTTCACTGAGCATATTTCCTTCTAGCTCCATCCATGTTGCTGTGAAGGGCATGAGTTTATCTTTTTTGATTGCTGAATAATATTCCATTGTGTATATATACCACATCTTCTTGATCCAGTCATCTGTTTCGGGGTGTTTGGGTTGTTTCCAGGTTTTTCCTATTGTAAATAGTGCTGCAACAAACATAGGTGTACAGGTGTTCTTTTGAATCATGGTTTTTGTGTCCTTTGGGTAGATCCCTAGCAATGGAATTGCCAGATCGTATGGTAGCTCCATTTTTAGTAGACTGAGGAATCTCCAGACAGCTTTCTGCAGTGGACGGACCAGTTTGCACTCCCACCAACAATGTAGGAGAGTTCCTTTTTCACTACATCATTGACAGCAGTTGTCACTTTTTTTTTTAAATTTCTTTCTTTTTTTTTTTTAAAGATTTTTTTATTTATTTATACAAGCACTGTGTGTAGTCAGAAGTGTGGCAGGGTGAGAGAATTCACCAGAGCCAGAGCGGGGAACAGAACAGGCAGAGTGAGGTAATACACTGCTCAGGGGAGCAGAGGGTGTGGCAGGAGAGGTCTGTGGCACCATGTGGGACCCTTGCCTGGCGGCCAGCGATTGCACTGGCGCTGCAGAGGTTGCGGGCAGCTTCGTAGCCCAGTGCTCAACCACTGTGCCACCAGGGGAGGCCTGTGTTGCTTGTTTTTTTTGATATGTGCCATTCTTACTGGTGTAAGGTGGTATCTCAGTGTGATTTTGATTTGATTTGCATTTCCCTGATTATAAGGGATGTTGAACATTTTTTCATATGCCTGTTGGACATTTGCATTTCCTCTTTGGAGAAATGTCTGTTGAGTTCTTCTGCCCATTTCTTGACTTGATTATTTGGATTATTTTGTTTTTGTTGAGTGAGTCATGTGAGTTCTTTGTATATCTTTGTGATCAGTCCCTTATCAGTTGAATGGAGTACAAAGATTTTTTTCCCAATCAGTGGGGTGTCTCTCTGTTTTGGTTAATGTCTCTTTTGCTGTGCAGAAGCTTTTCAGTTTGATGTAATCCCAGTTGTTTATCTTTGCCTTCACTATCACTGCTTTGGGTGACGAGTCTTTAAAGATGTTTCTGAGATGTCTAGATGTTTCTGTATGTCTTGTAATGTTTTACCTATATTTTCTTCTATATATTTTATTTTCAGGTCTTATGTCCAGTTCTTTTATGCATTTTGAGTTGATTTTTGTGCATGGTGAGAGGTAGTAGTCTAGTTTCATTTTTTTGCATGGGAGGTCCAGTTTTCCCAGCACCATTTATTGAACAAACTGTCCATGTTCCATTGCATATTCTTTGCTCCTTTGTCAAAGATTGGTTGTTCATATAGGTGTGGCTTTATTTCTGGGCTCTCTATTCGGTTCCATTGGTCTATGTGTCTATTTTTGTTCCACTACCAAACTGTTTTAATTGTTATGGCTTTGTAGTATAGCTTGAAGTTTGGAAGTGTGATACCTCCTTTCTCCTTTGTTTTCATCAGTAGGGCTTTGGCTATTTGTGGTTTTTTGTGGTTTCATATGAATTTCATCAGTATTTGTTCTATTTCTTTGAAAAATGTCTTGGGATTTTTATGGAATAGCATTGAATTTGTATATAGCTTTTGGGAGGATGGCCATTTTAATAATGTTGATGCTTCCAATCCATGAGCAGGGGATGTCCTTCCATTTCTTTGTGTCTTCTTCAATATCTTTTAATAGTGTTTTATAATTTTCTTTGTATAGGTCTTTCACCTTTTTTGTTAGGTTTATTCCCAAGTATTTGATTTTTTTTGGTTTCAATTATAAAAGGGATGGGTTTCTTGATTTCTTCTTCCAATTGATTGTTTATGTATAGGAAGGCTGCTGATTTTTGTGTGTTGATTTTGTATCCCGCTACTTTACTGACCTGGTTGATTATTTTGAGTAGTTTTTGTGTGGAGTTTTTAGGGTTCTCTATGTGTATTATCATATTGTCTGCAAATAGTGATAGTTTTATTTCTTCTTTCCCTATTTGGATTCCTTGTATGTCTTTCTCTTGTCTTATTTCCCTGGCTAGGATCTCCAGTATTATATTGAAGAGCAGTGGTGAGAGAGGACAACCTTGTTTTGTTCCTGATCTTAAAGGAAAGGCCTTCAGCTTTTCACCATGGAGAATAATGTTGGCAGTGGGTTTTTCATATATGGCTTTTATCATGTTAAGGCATGTTCCTTGTATCCCAAGAATTTCAAGGACCTCCATCATAAATGGATGTTGTACTTTGTAGAATCCTTTATCAGCATCTATTGATATGTTCATATGGTTTTTATTTTTCTTTTTGTTGATGTGTTGGATTACACTTACCGATTTTCATATGTTGAGCCATCCTTTTGCCCCTGGGATGAATCCCACTTGATCGTGGTGTACTATCCCTTTGATGCATTGTTGGATTGTGTTGGCAAGGATTTTGTTGAGGATTTTTGCATCAGTGTTCATTAGGGCGATTGGCCTGTAATTTTCTTTTTTTGTTCTGTCTTTGTTTGATTTTGGTATTAGTGTAATGTTGGCTTTGTAGAACATATTTGGTAGTATTCCTTTTTTTTCAATTTTTTGAAAGAGTTTGTGTAGGACAGGCATTAATTCATTGCTGAACGTTTGGTTGAATTCATTTGTGAAGCTGTCTGGGTCTGGGCTTTTGTTTTTGGGGAGTGCTTTGATTACTGCTTCAATTTTGCTGCTGTGATTGATCTGTTTAGTTGTTCTATTTCTTCTTTGTCCAGCTTTGGACTATTATATCATTCTAGGAATTTGTCCATCTCTTCTAGATTGTTGAATTTGTTTGCATATAAGTGTTCACAGTTATCTCTGATTATTCTTTTGATTTCTACTGAGTCTGTTGTGATTTCTCCTCTTTCATTTGTAAACCTATTTAAATGTGTTTTCTCCTGTTTTTTCTTTGTGAGCCTGGCTAGAGGTTTGTCTATTTTGTTTATTTTTTCGAAAACCAACTTTTGTTTTCATTGATCTTTTGGATTGTTTTTTTAATTTCCAATTTGTTTATTTCTCCTTTGACTTTTATTGTTTCCTTTCTTCTACTGGCTTTAGGGTTTCTTTGTTGTTCTGTTTGTAGCTCTTTAAGATGTGAGATTAGGTTGTTTCTTTGAGTTCTTTCTTGTTTGTTGATGTCAGCCTGTATTGCTATATACTTTCCTCTTATTACTGCTTTTGCTGCATCCCATACATTCTGGAAAGTGGTGTCCTCCTTGTCATTCAACTCAAAGTAATTTTTAATTTCTTCTTTGATCTCCTCTCTAGTCCAGTGGTCTTCCAGTAGTGTGGATTTCAATCTCCATGAAATGGGAGGGTTCCTTGTTTTCTTTTCATGATTTATTTCTAGCTTGATGCCTTTATGATGGGAGAAGATAGTTGGAATGATTTTGCTCTTAATGTGTCTGTTGATGTTTTGAACTTTCCTTTTAGTTGTAGCTGTTCACAGAATCAGCCATAAAGATTTCTTCCTGGAGTCCCCTGAGCCAGATGGGAATGGCTTTCTGACTATATGACCACACACATTTGGCTGGAGCTCAGGGGAGGAGTGCTGGGCCATTTTTCTTGTCACAGCACCTGGCTAGGTGAATGCAGGTTGTGTAAGTGCAGCAGAAGAGAAAGGAGCCAGGCAGAGCCCAGGACTTACCAGGTGTAGCTTGTCTCCCTCAACCCACTGCTTCCAGCCACGGTTCTTCTTTTCTCCCTTTTGCACACACACTAGGACATTTCCTTCCCAAGTGACCAGTGACTGCAATGACAAATTCCCAGGTTGATCAAATGTCTGGTCTTGATTGGGACTGAGTAAACCTAAACTTACAACTGTGACTCCTGTGGACACCCCAAAATCCTGCTTACCCATTGGGCAGAGCCCTCATCCAGCCTCAGCTAAGCGAAGATCCTTCCAATCTCATTTCCATACACACCCTCTGTTTCCCAAACTGGCTTATGATAGCTGGTTTTGTTGTAGGAATTTTGCTCTTCCATGTTGCTGTATGGTAAAGAGCTATCCAAACCAGTGGAGAAAAGATACATTTGACTATATAATGACATAGAATTTCTGGAATGTGAAAATGTATCAAAGTCAACATAGAAATAACAAACTGAGAAAAATAATCATAACATATATTAGACATTGACCTGATTTTATATATGTGTGTGTGTATATATATATATATATGTGTGTGTGTGTGTGCATATATGTATATATACACACACACACACACACACATATAAAGGCTTCATGTAAATCAATAAAAAATGATCATAACCTAACAGGAAATTCAACAAAAGATAAGAAACAAGAGCATACAAGGAAAAACAAAACCCTAGCAGATGGTCTTCAAAAATAGGAAAAAATATTCAATCACTCATAATAAGAGGTATGCAAATTAAAAGTGTTTTTCAGATACAATTCACCATGTGGTCAAAGGTCGGTGTGTAACAGCAGTGAGCTGGGGGGATGTGGAGAAGCAGGCACACTACTGGTGGATGTATAACTTTGTATGAATCTTTTTTACAGGAAAATTTTATATTACCTTTTGACATTTTAAAATGTACGTTCTTTATTTTATTTTATTTTTTAAATCTTTCTTAAAATATATGTGCATATTTTATTTTTTTTAAATAATAAATTTTATTTTTATATTCCCATACAATTGCAACCCCCCATTCTGACCCCAATCGCTCCCCTCCCGCCCCCACCCCCCAAAAGTGTCTCTGTTTCATAGTTTTTTGTTGATTTTGATTTTCACTTTCTTATAGTTATTCATTAAAATGTACATTCTTAGACTGGAAGAGATGAAGGGCCTGTGTTGAGCAACCAACTTGAGCTGACCAGCAAGTAGGAGAAGCCACAAGCAGACTGAATTCCAAGTAGCTCAAACCTCTGTGTACATATTTATATACCCCCTCCCCACCAATTCCTCCTCCTTTGTTTTTCCCTCTTACCTCTCCAAGCACCTGCCTTGGAATAGTCTGCACTGTCCCTGGGTGTTCCTCCAGGTCCTCCCCTCCATTCCCAAATGAGACTAGTACCTTCGCCTCTGAGCTACTGTCATTCCCATCCAAGCAGTGGTGCTGACCTTCCTGGGGGTGACCCGGATGCTAGCTGGTTTTCTTCCAAGCATGTGCAAACCACATTCTGCCTTTACGAAGGCCCAGACATTTGCTTTCCTCTGTCTCCTAAACCCAGTTGGAGATACACTGACCTTGTTTTTTTCTGACTCACTGTCCTTGCACATTCAGGTCTGTTTTTTGGTACAACTGTGTTTTCTGCAGATTGTTAAGTTTCCTATTTTGAAAATAATATTTAGTCTTGGCCATATTATATGGTTTATGTACACTTTTATTCCTCCTCATTTTATCCCTCAATATATTGAGCATTGTTTGCCACAGCAAAGGGCTAGAAGCCTCATGAATTCTGTCAGTGGGAGGTTGGTTAAATATGGTGTGGTTCATGCCTGAAAGGAGGGGAAAGTCTATAACTAAGGAAAAGAACCATCTTCATAGCATATAGTTTCAGTGGAAAAAGCAAGGAACAGAGCCCTGTGCATAAAGCAAGTGTGGTAGATATGCATGCATATGTTTATGTCCCCTGGAGGAAGTAAAGGAAACCCTTACTAGTGATCTTCCCTGGGGAGGAAACTGGGAGGCGAGGGGCCAGGATAGAAATCAAATGTCGTTTTTCACTGTGCAAATGTTTTTTCTTACAATGTGTTAATATTTCCCAAGCTAATTAAAAATAAAATTCCACATGTTTTCTTAAGAAACTGTATCTGCCTTCAGAGCCATCCTATCATTGAGCATCTTGGTGAAGCTTAATTCACAGGCTGCTCTCTTTGCTCTTCCAGGAGGGAAGTGTTGTCTGGAATATTCATGTGTCATTGGCTATTGTCGGCCTTGGACTCGGAGTTCCTTTCCAAATGAATAAGGAGAACTCATATTTTCTATTTGCACAGGAACAGTGTCTGTTAACTCCCTTAGTCCTCACTGCCTTATATATTATGCCCCTAATGCATGTTGACTGAGTTGGTGATTGTGTCCCCCAATGGACAATAAGCTCCGTGGAAGAAGAGACCATGTCAGTTGTGTGTTTCTGCAATACCAGGCTCAGCATAATGACTAGCACACAACAAGTGTTTGGTCAGCACTGTTGAATGACCCTGCAATTGAATAATTTTGTTGAAACAGAATCTTGACTTAAATCCACAAGGGGGTGGGGGTAATACATGAGCACATGTGCTCTTCATTTATGATAGTTCTTGACAGCCACTCAGCCTGTCTCCTTGTCTTTGTCCCTGTTACCACCAAATGCACACTTGTCCATCAATATGGACACTAGAGAATGACTGTACATCTACTTGTCTGCTTCCCCATGAGGCTGTAAGATCTCTGAGTGCAGAGAAGGGGGTCTGATTCATTTCTTTATGAATAGCTCTGCTCCTGATCCACATTCACATATGGTATGGGCTTGGCAAATTTTGCAGAAGGGACAAAGAAGAAAAATCTTAGTGCATGGGAACTAATATTTTATTATCATTTTTAAAGATTTATTTATTTATTCATATCAGAGCTGGGGTATAGGCCAGAGGTGTGGGGGGTGAGAGTATTCACCAGAGACAGAGTGGGGATAAGAACAGGCAGATCTCCTGAAATACAGTGCTGAGGCGAGCAGCTGGAGAGACAGGAGAGTTCTCCTGTGCCATGTGGGTTAGTCCCTGGCAGGGGATCAAACTTATGCTGCAGTGGCTTCTCATAGCTTCATAGTGCTGAAATTTAACCCCTTGCACCACCAGGGAGGCCCTAATATTTTATCTTAATAACACATATTAGGCAGCAAGATTAAAAGTTATCCTGACACCCAATAAGCTGGTTACCAAAAATCATGCACCCAAGTATTATAGCCTACATAAAGCAGATAAGGTGAGAGAATTCAATGAACTAAAATTCCATAATTCAATTTGTGTTTACTTGGCAACCTTTTCTTTATCAGAGGAGGCTTTAAAAAGAGGCTCAATTGCCTTAAAGGATGGTGAGCAGATGAGCAGATGACAAGCCAGGAAAGACATCATTTCTGACCTGGGACATGAACAGAGAGTGTCCAAGGGGGATGCACTTGCAGAAATTAAAGAAGGAAGTTGGATTCACTCTGCCATTTCCCCTGTCACGGTGTTCAAAGTTAACATCATTATGGACAGCCCCTTTATAGCAAATTAAAGGTAGTAACTGTGCCAATATTAAGCTTATAGAAATTGATAACTACACTGTGGCTATATAAAAGCACATCCTAATTCTGAGGTAATACGAGCTGAATTATTTAGTGTAATGCATCAGATTGTTCATAGTAAATAGAAAGAGTACAAGCACAAATGGTGAAGCAAAGGGCACAATGTTAATGTGGGTAGAGTGTATGTGTGTTCTTTGTTAGATTCTTACAACAAACTTTTCTGTAACTTTGAACCACTCCGAAAATGTTTTTTGTTTTTTAAGAAAAATAGCAGGTCTTTAAATGAAGAGCATTGAAAGACACTACTAACACATTTAAATCCTCCCCAGTGCACCAACCTGCCAGCAAGAGTTACTCGTGCTGCCTACAGTGCCCACCCTCCCTGTGGCATTTCCTGAGGTGTAACCTTCCAGGAGGTGACTGGCCCCTGACTTCAAGGGCATCTCTCTGTATCATGCATTATTGGCTTTGTCATGCCTGTGTCTGCTTTTCTCAGGCTTACTGTCTGCCCCAGTTACCTAATTTTTCTTTTTTTTGTTTTCGTTTTTTTCAGTTTTAAACAAATGTTCTTTTTTAATTTTATTTTTATATTCTCCATACAATTAAAACCCCCTTATTTTGACCCCAATCCCTCCATTCCCAGCCGCCCCCCACCAGTAGTGTCTCTGGTTCATAGTTGTTTGTTGATTTTGGTATTTTCTTTCTTATAGTTATTCTTTTTCCTGGTCCCTTATTTAGGTTTTCTAGATTCCTGCTATGAGTGAGACCATCCGGTATTTTTCTTTTTCTTTCTGGCTTATTTCATTGAGCATGATCCCTTCCAGCTCCATCCATGTTGCTGTAAATTACATGTGTTTATCTTTTTTGAATGCTGAGTAATATTCCATGGTGTATATGTACCACATCTTCTTGATCCAGTCATCTATTTTTGGGCATTTGGGTTGTTTCCAAAGCTTAGCTATTGTAAACAGTGCTGCTATAAACAGAGGGGTGCAGGTGCTCTTTGGAATTGATGTTTCTGTGTCTTTTGGGTAAAAATCTAGGAGTGGAATTGCTGATCACATGGAAAGTCTGTCTTTGGTAGGTTGAGGAATCTCCACACAGCTTTCCATAGAGGTTGGACCAGTTTGCATTCCCACCAGTAGTGCAGGAGAGGTCTTTTTTCTCCACATCCTCACCAACATTTGTTGTTGCTAGTTTTTTTAAAATGTGCCATTCTCACTGGTGTGAGATGGTATCTCATTATAGTTTTGATTTGCATTTCCCTGATTGCAAGTGATGTTGAACATTTTTTCATATGCCTGTTGGTCATTTGTATTTCCTCTTTGGAGAAGTTTCTTTTTAGCTCTTCTGCCAATTTTTGACTGGATTATTTTCTTTGTCTTTGTTGAGTCTCATCAGCTCTTTGTAGATTTTTGTGATCAGTCCTTTATCGTTAGTGTTGTGTGCAAAATGTTCTCCAGGCAGTGGGATTTCTCTTTGTTTTGGTTATTGTCTCTTTTGCTCTGCAGAAGCTCTTTAAT